ATAACTTGTCCACAGGTATTGTATTTTCTGAGGTATTAGTAGATTTTTTTTTCTTATCGAAAAAATATTGTTTCTATAAGAACGATTAAAACAATCAAAAGTGTGAGTATTTTAATCACTGATTTCAAGGTCTATGATTATCTCCTTTAGTTGCCTTCTTATTTTGGCTCCTTACTAGAATAAGACGTGTGTATGTGTGCCTATAATATCCAAGCCAGGATAATTTTCCTTTTAAGGAAATTACTAGCATTTGCATGGATGATAAAGCATTAAATTTATCCAGTTCGTTTTCTATGTTTTCTATTTAATCACGGCTTCTTAACCCCTCGTTCTTCTTTAACCCTGGTTTCTTTACCCCTCCTCCTTTAACCAGGTTAAGATGGCAGTACAATACATGCGTCGGATAATTGAGAAGAAGGCAAAGTTCGATATCATGGATCTTAATTGCTTGCAGGTCTTTCTATGTTAATCATTCTGTTGACATCGATGAGTTAACCCTAGCTCCCTTCCCTACTCTCTTTTTTCGATTCACATATAACCCATACATATATAGGGCTTTTCAAGTAAGGGATCATTTACTTTAGTTAAAGAGATATATTGTGGGTTCCACTCCATCGTCCAGTCCAATAAATACAGACTGTCTATTTTTATGCCCCCATTTAAAGATTGTCCTTGCAAAAAAAAAAGTCCAATTATGATTAAATAAGTAGACGAACACTGTGTTTCCAATAAACAGTAAAATCATCGTGATTATAGTCAACTGGTTAAATAGTTCTCAATTTGGCTGATTTTTTCTTAAAGGGGGACCTAAGAAATGGATCGTATGGATCATTGGACTATGTTAGAGGAGGGCCCTAGTAATGCGTCCCTTATTTTAGCTAAAGGTTTTAAAAAAAAAAAACATTTTGTTCTTAGGGGTGGGTTAGACGCATGCTGGCCTAATACTTATTATATTTCTTTTATTGTTGTAGCCATAAGATCATTTCAGTGGTTATTGAATATGGTCATTTGTATAACGCTGGCAGGTTTCATTTATCCCAAACCATCATTCTGACCTTATCTACAAGTCTTATGCGGTATTGTCTCATTTAAGGATCTTATAAATTAATATGGTTCAGTTGGCAAAGTGACAAACAACTACATCTTTAATTCTTTGCAGGGGGACAAAAATATTATATATTTTGATGGTGATCACAACTCTTCTCGGCCCCAATTTTATTATGATTCAGTTTCCATTTTCTTCTACAATGTTCTTCATCCCCCGCAAATTTCTTCTCATTCATGTAAGCTTGAGAAATATTATGATTTAGGGGATTTGAAGATTGGTGCTGGTTTGGATGAGGTGATTTCTGTCTCATATAAGATATTGTGAAAAACCTTGTAGTGTTACCATTGGTCATTAATTTTGAGATCATTACTGCTAATATTGTATTAGCTGACTCCCCAATCAGTGTACATATGCTTTTTAAGAATCCCTGTCAATGAACTGTAGCTCAGTCGATGTTTCTACCAAAATCAAAGTGAGAGTTGGGAAGTTAGAGCTTCTGGCATTCATGCATCATTTTTATATCAGTCACCGCCACCATCATCATCATGATCACAACTAAAATTCAAGCATTATAGTTCGAGATGTTCTCATGTTTCAATGTCAAGAAGCAAAAAGACACATGCACAATCACCATCCTCATCATCATTTGGTCATTAGTGCTGAGATGTACTGAAAATTTTAATATCCACTCAGTGGCTGGCTTCACGATTATAATTCGATCGCATCCTGTGTTTTAAGTCAGGTGCTGCACAATAATGTTTCACAATGAATGGTTATCAGCATTTTGTTACAGCACATGCCATTAAGCCATTTTCATTGGCTATGCCTCATAACCACTATATGGGCTTGGGCAATAGATGTTGTCCACCTTTGTGCTCCACTGCCATAAGAATGGTGCATAATTTCCTCCACTAAAATGAATATGTGCCCCCACCCCTTGATTTTTAGGGCTTATTATATGAGATAATCACTGGCGTTCATTCTGCGGGTCCTGATGTTGCAAGTTCATCTTCTGCTCCTCCTGCCATTTCAACTACAAAATGTGTGGGCGAGCTTCTTTCTGAAATTGCACCAGTGACTACTGTAGTTGTATGTATCTTTTTTTAGGTTTTGTTACCTTTTGTCTCCATATTATCCATTATGTTGAATCATTGTGCAACGTACATGTTATTGATAATGCAGGATTCTGTGCATGAGGAAGCTGACATACTTAGTAGTCATGAACCATCACATCCAGAGGTGATCTAAACTTGTAGGACCCTTAAAATTTTTCAATTAGGTTTTTGCGTTCTCTTTTCAATTAAGGTCAGGCTTCTCTGTAGAAAACCATGGATTAGCAATGGTTATTAGCTAGCTTGATAAGGCAGAAAAGATAGTACTGTGTGCTGGTTTAATTTGTTCCGAAGGGGCTGGGCATTTTAGACCCAAAAAACAGACTTGAACCAAACTGATCAGTCTGGTTTGGTTTGGTTTTTCTGTTTAATTTTTGAATTTTGTGGTAAAACTGAACTGGTCAGGAAAGGTTTGGCTTTAGTTTTTGCATTTTAATGTTCTGTTATAATCAAATCGGCCTCCATCTTATAAAATCATCAAATTTTTTTCCTCCAAAACCTTAACTGAACTGTGTATCCTTTCTACATCTATCTCTCTTCCTCTCTCATCTTCCCCCTCCTCATCTCTCTCTCTCTCTCTCTCTCTCTCTCTCTCTCTCTCAAACCTTGATCCTGACTTAGGCATGTGCCTCCACTCTCAAATCTTGATCTTGACTCAAATGTGCTCCATCGTCATCGTATCTACTACAATCTAAGGATCTATTGCTCAATCAGTGCATGATCTCATCTTCCCCATAGCCAGCAGAAGATGGACCAAAATTGACTGATGATGCCAAACCGTTTTTCGGTAGACCAAAACTGGATGGTGGATGCTTACGACGATTTGGTCTTGGTTCAGGAATTTTGTTTACTGACTTGGTCGGTTCAGTCGGCAGTTTGGGCGCAAAAACCGTACCAACCCAACCCAAACCATGCCCAGCCCTTAGAAAGACTGTTTATCACAAAGTGATGTAAATGGTGGAATATTGTATTGTTGCAATGTTTTTTAAGTCAATTTGAGCTTTTACTTTTCCCCTCTAATCTTCTGTGTATTATTTACTGAGAAATCATACTCTGCCTATTTGACAAGTTGCCGTAGGGATTGATCATGCAATGGAAATATAACCTTGTGAGAAGGCAATGAGACTTTTCTGTTTGACAGATTTGTATTCTGAAATATTGCAGTTATGGTTTTACAGGACCAGCCTAATGATCAGAATGAAGAATGTTGTTCATATACAAGCTCAAATAGAGAGAGTTGGGGCAGATGCTCTTCATTAGGTGGCAGTGATGAAGAATCTTCTGCTGATTGCACAGCTGCTGACAACAGGCATCAGGTCTCTCTCTCTCTCCCCCCCCCCCCCCCCCCCCCCCCCCCTATTCCTGTAGGGACTTATTTTCTTCTGACACCACTTAAAGTTCTGTTTAAATGTTATGCTTTCATAGGACTTATCCGCGTCAATTCAGGTGGTAATCTTTTTGGTTTTTATTTGGATTGTTGAATAATTGATGGAAGTATTCAAATATCTCATGTTGTAGAGTCATCTAGTCCTGGATGTTGGCTCCTATGGGTTTGGTTTACCAAGAATGAGAAATAATCTATCAGAATGTTTTGGGTGCATAGGTATACTATGCTTGTACATTGATCCAAGTACACAGCCATCATTCGGTGACATATTATGTGAATAAAGAAAAAAGAAAGTGGGCAGTGGGGCAGTCATATGAGATCGCTCGTCTAGATCTTCAAAAGCTGCCTTCCATATAAATCTTGGGCATACTCAAGGTGCAAGGCCTTGCTGTGCATCTACTGCTAAGAATGTTTTCTTAACGAACTTTTACGTTTTGTTATAACATTTAACGATTGGAAATCTAATGACACAAACAGAACATTGCACATGCTGTTTATGGGAATCATCCGAGGAAGATGGATTCATACTGCATAGAGGGATTTAAAAACATATTTCCAAGTTTGCATTTCTTGATTTAAGTTATCTTTTTTATTGTAGAAGACTCTTAAGGTGCTCACGATGCCTCTTCGATGCATGCAACAAAAATCATCAGAGCTAAAAAAGGAGGAAAAGAAAAAGAAGAAAGTTCCCATTGTTCCAAAGAAGCCCAAAAGTGAGAAATTTGAAAAGTTAGAGGCCCTTAGCAAACGGCTGCGTCTTTGCATCCTTAAGCGAGTAAACCATTGTAGACATCCCACTTCATGACTGCTGTACTATAAAAAAAAGTGTGTAGCTATAGTTGTTTCCATCTTCAAGTTTTACTTTTTGTTGATGTATACCCCAACCTTGTCATCATTTTTTCTTTTTCTTGTTTTAAATCATTAGTCCTGTTCTATTTTCTGTGTCTCGCATGAGGTTTCATGAAGATCTAACTGGTCGATGATGCCCTCTGTCTTCCCACTCATTTGTGATACATTGATAAGTAATAATTGCAGACAGCTTGGTAAATTTGTGGGTCAGCCGACATGAATTTCAAAAGATTGGCTTTATTTCTTTATAGAAGATGGGGGTTGAGAAAATTCCTAGTTATTTGGTAAATCTGACATAGAAATCACTCACATAGGAACTTGACATCTTATAATCCGTTCTGTAAAGTTAAATAGGGTTAATGTAAGATTATTAGTTCGGGTAGGTTCCATATTTCTCTGCATAGTTTCCGTTTTCTGTACTCTGGGAGCCATGACCCATGCAGCTCTGCCCCGAACCCCAACCAAATTTACTTGGCGAATACCGACATCCTGGCAAAACAGCGGGGCGGACCCAACCCGTGCACTCAGTACATTAGATTGAGGCCACTCTTGGATTGTAAGTTTATACATTTAGATCTGGTTGCCATATTTGAATGTACCTGACTTGAGCTAAATGGAATGACGATGCTTACTAAAACGGGGAATGATCAAAAGTTTCTAAAGAATATCTGCCCACAAACAAGCTCTACAGTAATTATATCGCAGAGAAGTACTAATTCCAACCATTGTTCGCAACAATTCTCTCAACTTAAACAAGGCACAGTTCATAGACGTGTTTGAAGCTGGAACCTAACTAATGCAGCACACCTGTAATTTGCAACATTCTTTCACCTGGTTACAGACGTACCTCCCATAAAACTCATAAAGGCAAAATGAAACTCCTTCAGGGCATGCTGCTCAGAACACTAAACTACATGTCACTGCCCGCAACTTTTTCCAATATATTTTCATTCCTGAATGAAATCCCGGATGAGGGATCAAACTGCTCCCTAGGCAAGAAAGTCGTGTGTGCTTGCTGATATGAAGAGTTTAAGCTCGACTCTAGTATTTGGTGTGTAAGCACCACTTCTGGATCAGCGAATGCTTCGCCCATGATAACTCGCCGCTTCTTCATCGACCTCTCTGCTTTTGGACTCTCGGCTGGAGAATCAACCTGACAAGCAGAATCTGGAGTCAAGGGTTCATGATGAGATGAGAAAGATTCATCAATGGAAAGGCTCTTGGCTGGTGTACATTCCTTGGCAGCCTTGTCTTGGAGGGGGCACTCAGAGGTCGGGGCAGGGGTTGCCGGGTCAGTCTTGTTATCAGATTCTGGGCAATTGTCATCTGACAAACGAGCTAAGTGCCCAGAGCCAGGTGCTTCTGAACGAACTCCACTAAGTCGTTGTTGCTCTTCTATAATTTTCTTCAAGTATTTACCTTGTGCTTCAATCCGTAACTGCAGCTGTCTCTGTACCTGCCGTGCATTCACGAGTTCAGCTTATCAAAAGTCATGCAGGCCCCAACAAACAGTCTTCCCCCCTTCCCCTTCCCCCTCTATATTGTAGTACAGCACTGGGTGGGAAATGGTTGCAACTGTTCTCTAATTATTTTCCTATCCAGTTGCTTGGTCATTTTCAGAGGACATCTTGCTAAGGGTTTCTGACACTATCAACATCACTTTTTAGGGTCTACATTGCTTTAAGATAGGTGAACCATGCATAACCAGTAAAAGCTAACTTGAACTATTTGAGTGGCAACCATGACTCCTGAAGATACTTGAAGTGACATGAGCCTTTGTAGAAAGGGAAAGATTAACGACTTGCAAAATCTCTTCCTGTTTTTTTTGGTCTCCCTTCAAATTCTTCATTTTATGGATATTTATATTATCTCAGGTGGATAACAAATATTAAGTTGAAAAACGTAAAACCTAGAGACAATATATTAAATTCTGTGAAGAAAACATACCTCTAATTGCTCGTGCAGTCGCTTCTGCACCTCCATCTGCAGCTTGAGTGCTTCTGTAATTTGCATTCCACTGCAAACAGAATCAGCTTTTTGAGATTATCAGACAAAGGGAAACAAATGGAAATAAATTAATCCAAGAAACACAAAAGCCTCTGAATTGTTAGCCACATGTTGTATGTGCTCTTACAAGTTGTGAACTGAATATGAATTATTCAACTTTAAACTTTGACTACAGGGTTCCAATTCACATGGCCCATATAACAGAAAGAAATACTGAGTATAGTAAGTAGCTCTACTTACGATGAACCATCCAAATTGGAAAGCACATCCCCAGGTTCTTTCTTGTCAGCTTTTTTTCCTTGCATTAACATTTGAAGAGAATCAAGACACAATAAGGAAGGGTCAAACAATAATTCATCTTTGATATTCCTTTATCACTATGGAGAACCTGCCTAATGCAGAATTACAAATACATGAATAATTAACATAAAAGAAATCAGGTTCACCTACCATCAGATGAGGAGTCGGGTAGGTATTTTGCAAGTCGATATTTCTGAGTGCATCACACAAGTGGCATTAGTGGAAACACCAGTGAGATAGCCATATATCCTCACCCATTCTCACAACTGACTGAAGTAAAAGGGAAAAAAACAAAACAGAAAACTGGAAAAGTTCAGCATTGGACAGAATGGTTTTTTACATACCTGTAAATGGCTTTTTACATGGTATATGGTTAAACCTTGTACACCCATCACTCTCAAAACACCTTTTGGTGTCGCACCTAGAAAAAATTAAGAACAAATTATTTAAAACATTACATGGTAAATAAACAATATCATACGTAGAAATGGACAGATATTTCCACTGAAAATCATTCCCTCGCATGAAGACATGATGCATCTAAAATATATCTTCTGTCACGCAATATATCATTTTCTGATCTCAATCAAGTTCTCAAACATATCACATACACCACATATAAGATCAAGTATGAATTAAACTTGAGGCCATTTTTTATGCAAAGAATCATACATAAAATATGATAATCTAGAAGCTCATTATGGATTCACGTGTTGAAATACACTGAAGACTTGCGAGCTGTAAAGCATTATTAACAAACCAGAAACTGCTTTTTTTCACCTACGCTTCCCTCACTTAAATTAAATGGACAAGCAACCGTAGGTTTTCTCAGCGAAACACAATAGGAGATTGCTCACTCGAACAGGACAAAGAATTCTATAATATATACAAGTGTATTGTATCAAAATTAGTGAATTCCATCTAAGCTGATGAAGATATGGAAACACACATGTATAGTCAAGTCAAGATTTCATCCACTTGAGTACAAAAAAAAAGTGTCAAGATTTCATTTACAAATATCACCTTCCACTGATTTACTAGATAATTGCTGCACATTAGCAGATAAATGCCACAACCAACAACAGAAACAAATTAGAAAGAAGTTAAGGTCACTCACGATCTGGCCCACCAAGTTGTGCCACAGCATCGACAAAGCGTTCATGAAGCTCGTGTGTCCAACGCAGTCGCTGTTTTGAGGCAAGGTTAGGATTATTGAGACTGTTTCCTCCGTTGATGGGGTCCATTGTGTTGATGCCACTGTCTAAATGCTGACCATGAACTAGTGAGTTGTTGCAGACTAAGCGTGAACTAGTAACATCCTTTGGTTGATACACTTTTCATTTACCTATAAACAGAAGAACCAGAAAGCCATAATGCATAATGCACTATAGCATAAAAGAAACATAACCTCATGACTCATACCAACTACAACCTTATCTAACACATGCCTAATAAAGGAATCACTATTTACCTAAGTAAGGTAGACATTCCACGTACATTCTTTCTTCCTTTGGGTCAAAAGATAAATAAGAAATATACAGTTAAACTTTAATATCGGTAAAATCAGAACCAATCAGATTGTGGTAGAGCTATCCATCTCTGATGACTAAAACACTTCATCACAAGTATTATCTTTTGAAAGAGCGCAAGTTAAAGAGTTGAAAAATGAAAAAGGCATGGATGTGCTTACCCAAAGCAGGAGAGCTGCTAAGGCGCTGATGAACTGATTAACCCCTTAATAGATATGCTGGGAAAAGGTTGAAGCTACGGCAGTCAGCGATTTATACGCATGAAGACAAATGTTTTCATGAATCTACGATCCCCGAAAAAAATGGTTATCGTTTTTCTTTTTCAATTGATGAAGTAATAATAGGCAAAGGCTCTGCCTCAATCCCATTTCAAGACAGTGGGCAGTAAATTAGGGTTTCATAAAGAAGTGAGCTATCTTAGCGCAAGATCATATTACTATGAATTTAGAAAGAAGAAGTATGTCAAAAAGCATGCTATTTGCCAAGGACAAAGAAGAATAACAGAGTTCAGATAAGCAAAGAAAAATGGGGAAGAGACATACCCTACTCAGATGACAGATCTACTCTCCCTCATATCCCACCCGCCCTCCAATTTCGAAACTCTGATCTCCGTGTTCGTTAATTAATACTAATAACAATAAGAATTCAGAGAGGAGGTCTGAATTTAGGAGAAAATGGCTCTCTCTGTTTCTCAGATAGATAGATAGTCTTGAGAGAGAGAGAGAGAGAGAGAGAGAGAGATTCCCGACGTACAAGTGGTAGCACCGAGTGTTTTTTTTTTTTTTTTATAAAAAAAGAAAGGGCAAGAGACTTGAGACCACCACCCACACTCGGGGGAAGAACCGAAGAACGAAACAAAGTAAGAAAATCAACCCTTTCTATTTGTTAATAAGATAAATAGGAGGAAAATGGTTAGCTGCAACGTTTGAAATTGAATTATGAAAATATTGCCGACTCTTTCTAAGGTTCACTTCACATTTTGTTTCGAGATTTATTTTTCAAGTCTTCATTATAAGATCATTCTCTAAAAAATCAGTTGATTCAGTAACTAGTAAACTATTTGATCAAATGGGTTCAGAAACATAATGTTTAGAAACATAATTAGAAACATAATGTTTATCTATTTATTTAATATTAGTTTTGATTTGGCTGGTTTTATGGACTAATGATCCTTATACATTGAGTGCTCAAATTGTTAAACTACAAAATGAAATTCGTGCACAAACGGTTCCTCAAATAATGTTATTTAAGAGATTTTTTAACTGAAACTCACTTGATAAAATGTGAATACAAAAAAAAATTGAAAGTATGACATTGATCAAATGATATGCCATTGATTTGAAAGAAAGAAAAAAAACTACATTGGGATTAAACCTAATTTGAATATGAATCATTGAATTTTGATCAATAGTGATTATTTTTATAATAATACTAAGCTAACTAAAGTCCCAAAAATAGACTTAGTTATGTTGGGAAGATAGAAATTCGGGGGTTTCGATCCTGGGTGTCAAGCATGAGGAAGAAGAGGGTCACAACTAACGTATTAGCCCCCGCATTGACAAAGTCTAAATTTTTTAACTCTTGAACATACTGAACTTTTATTTAATTACAAGCAATAAAGTATCATGTTATGTATCACATTCGTAGATTATAGTTTTCAATAGTGAACCTCATTTATTTGCATGACTAAATTATGGTAATTCGTGATCTACCTCATTCAATGCAGGCATGCAGCCTGCCTAGTTTCCCTTTTTCTCCTTTCTTATGTTAGGCTTCGGCCTCTCTCTTTTTTTAGTGCAAAATAGTAAAATGAAATTGTATCAAAATATTGCGATCACAAAATAAATAACATTAGTGATACATAACCGGCCTCGAGTAGTTTATTTTATTATTTTATCGACCAAAAAAAAAAACCGGCCTTGACGGAATCTGCTTGATAATATTCCCGTCCCTTGTCCAAACAACAATTATTCCGGCGATTTTGTCATATTTGTTTGCCTCATTTTGAGAGCTACGCGTGTATTTGGAGTTTTCTCTTCTTATGTTGTCGTTATTACAAAAATCAAACGATACTTGGCACTTGCCCACCTTATCAGTTTGGTTGTTCTAACTTGTATTCTATCATTTGATTATCAATTTTTTCCTATCATAGTACGTTACGGGGTGTGCTCAACCAAACTATCCTAAAACGGAAACAATAAGAAAATATCCACGTCACCAAGAAAGCCTAGAACTCCACTAAGTCCTCCAGTCCAGGGTCGATTACTACCATAGATGAGACGACGATTCCATTCGGCTTATACAAATACTATTTCGATCATCAAATGGAGCAAACAACATTGATATTCAACACCAAATCAATTCACAGTGGGGAAAAAAATTATGAACATCATATTTGTAATCATCGTTTAGTATCTCGCATTGCACCCAAAACGAATATTTTGTAAACGAATGAACCCAAAATGAATTGTGAATAGTGATGGGATGCAAACGAATCACTCTTTCAAATATGTTCTAGCATTGAATAAAAAATAAATAAATATATATATATATGTTCTTCTAACAAGGGATTTATAACTCAAGTGTAAGTGACAAACCCCTCGTCTTGTAGTTTAGACTATTACTTGTACTCCATTACAAAAGACCAAAAACAAAGCAATGCGGTAAGCCAAGCTGAAAGGCATATAGCCACCGATGCTCTTCGTCTAGTGGTAAAGATCTCATGCATTGAAAAGTTGACTAGAAGCACTCTCATCTCAAGACTGCATGACAAGTCTACAATTTAAGAGTCTACATTAAGTCAAAAATTTAACCCAAGCAGCTTTGGACACACGATTCGTTCTGATATTTAAGCCACTAGTATATTGAATTTACAATTTGGGAGTTGAGACAACTAGTTTCCACTTTCAATTCCTGCCAACTAAATGGACAAGAGAAGATTGAAACTCTACATTTAAATATCGTATGCACTGAGTGAACAACAGGATCTCACTCTGGTCATGTTCAATTTCAGCCCTACATACCATACCTAGCAATACCATGAGGATTGACTGCGGCTACATTAATCTCTTGGGTTCTCACCTTGGCTTCACCCCAAATTAAAGATGCAGCTGCGGAGTCCAAGCTCAACATTCTTTTTTTCCCGCCACCAGGAGATCCTTCCAAGGTCAGTCCTCCAGGACTCTCATGTGATGTGAGGCAGCTTTCAGTGGAGCAATCAGCCCTTTGGGTATGGATACTAGTCGGCACTTCTTCTTCTGGACCATGAACTCCAGCCACATCTGTGGATTGTAATGAGTAGAAGCCAAGTGGGTCAAGGGAGGGACCTTTTGTGTTCTTATTCCCCAATCCATGACACTTATGGCTGTCAGTATCAGTAACTGAACCTCCAATAAATTGATCAGCAAGCATCTTACAAGCTCTCTCAAGCATTGCCATGTATCTTCGCTCTGCATCCTGGCGAATCTGCAAGTGCTTCTCGGCCTACATAAAATGGTAAGAAGATTAAGTAGCTTGTGTGTGGATCCAGACACTGAGTCCAAAAGTTCTTTACTTCCTAGTAGATGATAATTTTAGCATTTTGAACTATCATCAATTATATTCTGAGTGCAGAGTCACAAGCTAGTCAAATAAAAGGTAAGAAAGGGCTCAAAATTGCATTCCAGACACGTACCAGTAACTTTACCGTTCACAAAGATACTCCAGAAAAGGGGCAAGACGCACACACACACACACACACACATCCCACCTACAGAGTAGGGAAATTTACCTCAACTTGCACATGTAATTTACTCTGCACTTCCATCTGTGCTCTTAAAGCCTCTTTGACTTCATAACCCCTAAAGATGCCATTTTAACCAAACGTTTAATGTAAAATGACCTATTAAGCATCAAAAGGTTTCAAAAAAGAAAAGGGATCAAAATTCTTACTCATTTAAATCAGAAGTTGGCAAATTTGGCGAAGAATTGCCGGTACCAGGGCTTTCTAGAAGGTATGAAGCTGACATTCCTCACAGTGATTGGCAAAAGAAGTCAGACACAAAATTAAAGATTGCACTCACATAATATGCCTTCTAGATGGCTTCAAAATAGATATATGATAATATACAAGTAGCCAAATTTATTTGAGAAGGAAATCCCTTCATTTTTGGAGAGGTATCAAGGGAGGAGAAGAAAGAGCGAGCACTTATTGTTAAAAGTACAAACAAAGTGTTGTCCTGCATCCTTTCAAATATAAACTTTTGGAAACACAAGCAAACCAACAAATTTAGCATGGTCTCGTGAGTTTGAACATTGGTACTGTAACCTCCCAAATTTTATTGAATTCTATGTGTTGTGCTAGAACGAGGCTCACGCATAAGGGGAGTGTCAGGGCATAAAAGAACACATCTTAAGATGTGGACAACAATGCTAGCTTGACATACATTGTTCACTTATTATTCCTTAACAGCTTTAAGTTTTTGGAGTCCAATGACTGTCTAACATGACATTCAAACTTAAGAACCTACATTTGAAATCAGTCTCTGCTCTTTGTTGACATCTGCCCACTTCTTCACATGCAAGATGGAACTCCACATGAGGGAGTGTGTTAGCTTGATATACATTGTTGGCTCATTCATTAACTTTTAGGATCCAATGGTTGTATTCTATACTCTAAAACCTATTCCATTCCGAACAAAACCACCTAATATGAAAGGGCACAAAGAGAGACTTATGACAAAACCTACCATCCTTGGATACATCGCCCATTTCCTTCCCTGATTGCTTACCTAGTCTGTATTTCTGTAATGAAGTAAGAAACAATAAGTGTTTAAACTTTGGTAACAAACACCATGATATAATTCAATGATAAAAAAAGAAACCTGCAGATGACTCTTCAAATGAAAAAGGGTCAGCCCCTTCACATTCATTGTCCGCATAATAGCCTTTGGCGTAGCTTCTGCAAATAAAATACAAGCTCTCATGAGAATCCAAAACAGCTTGAAGATTCAAGGACACGAGATATTCGCAAAATCTTAGAAAGCAGTATTGATATGGTGGTAGGCAGACAAACAAGCTATCTGACTCATAAACAATATGCTAAGGTCAAGTTGAAGCTAAGTTCCCAAACAAGAAACCCTACCTATCAAATACAAAACAAATAGATTTAGGCAAAGGGGATATTGAAAAAGGAGAATGAAGGAAAAAGCAACAGACTAGATGAACCGCCAAGCTGACTGACGGCATCGACAAATCGTTCGTGAAGGTCAGCAGTCCAGCGAAGACGGGGTTTGGGATCGGAAGTTAAAACGAGGCAAGGGTCTCCTCTGTGACCTTGCATATCTTCCTCACCAACAATTCCTTCGTGGGGAGCCTGCATCAGTCTCGGAAACATCTCTCTCTCTCTCTCTCTCTCTCTCTCTCTGCAATCGTCAAATCCCAATCTCCACACAGCGCCAGCGCCAGAGCCCGTAAAGATTTGTAGCCTTTTTTATTTACTTTACTTTTCCCATGGCCGACTCCTGCCTGGGTCTGCCCTGGGTCTGGGTGGGTGTTGGGTATTTAATTTAAATTTAATTTATTTGGCCTATTCGATATTTCGTGGACGGTGAAAAGATAAAAGGGAAGAGCAGAGCTGCAGAGCAGAGGTAAAATAAAAATACAAATTTATAAATAAACTCAATCATAGACATGTATTTATAAAAAAATTCAAGCACTATTTAAACATAGAAACACACCCAAAATTACTTTCAAAGTCAACTTTTTGGGTGTGTTTATAAATGGGTTTTGAGTGTGTGTAATGATGGGTTTTGAGTGTGTGTATATGTTTAAATAGTGCTTGGGTTTTTTTATAATTTCTATT